ACAACTTGGAGTCAGGGGTGTATTTAAAAACACTGGGGAAACCAGGTGTGGTGGTGATCCCAGGCCTGTGATCCCAGCAGCTCAGGAAGCTGAGGCAAGAGGATCACAGGTTCAAAGCCAGCCTCAGCAAGTTAGCGAGGCCCTATGTCTAATTATATAAATAATATGTGTGTGTGTGTGTGTGTGTGTGTGTGTGTGTGTGTCTGGGGATGTAGCTCAGTGGTTAAGTGCCCCTGGGATCAATGCCTGGTACAAAATAAATAAATAAATAACCCACTGGGGAAGCAGGCATGGTGGTGCTTTCCTATAATCCCAGGGAGTCAGGAGGCCAAGGAAGGAAGATCATAAGTTTAAGGTGCTAAGCCACATAGTGAGACCCTGTCTCAAAAGTAAAATGGCTAGGGATGTGGCTCAGTGGTTAGGCACCCCTGGGTTCAGTCCCTGATACTAAAATAAAATAAAAAACACTGAGGAAAAGCACCTGGTGGCTTCCTAGCCAAATGAAAATGGATCCAGGAGGCGGGCCTGGGAAATTTCTGATTGCTTAGAGGCTGGGAGTGTTCCTTTGGCAGGTGGTGGGGCACCGAAAGGAAAGCTTTCCCTGGGACCTTGACCGATGGCCCCAGGACAGTCAGACAGCTAAGACAATGAATGTTGGTGTGAGAGTTCTAGATCGTCCACCTCTGTAGCCAAGTGGCTTTCAACTTCTTGGCCTCACTTTTCTCACCTATAACATGGACATGATGAGTTCTACTGTGAATTGTTGGAAGAATTCTTTTTCTTTCTTTCTTTCTTTTTTAATCAGGGACTGAACCCAGGGGCGCTTAACCACTGAGCTACATACCCTGCCCTATTTATTTTTTTTATTTTCAGACAAGGGCCTTCGTAAATTGCTGAGGCTGGCTTTGAACTTGTGATCCTCCTGCCTCAGCCTCCTGAGCTGCTGGGATTCCAGGCATGGGCCACCACTCCAGTTGGGAGGATTCTTATGAGCTTTTGTTTGTCAAAAAAGAATTGCTTATTTGACTTGCTTGACCTCTTCTGCGAATGTCTCATAGGTTTTTCCTTAAAAAAAAAAAAAAAGCGTTCCCCATGATTTTATGCATCTCCCAAGTGTCTTATTCATGACTGGGCTTGAACTCTGTATAATGTGAGACAGACAGTGGGTGCCAGGGTAATTAAGACTGTGGAGAAAACAGCAACTAGTGGTGGCAAAGTCACCAAGGCTGAAATGAAATTGAGCAAACAGTGGTGGCAGCCCAGGCAGAGCCTCAACTGGGAAGAGATAACCAAAAAGAAACAACTCCGCTGAAAACCCCCCAAAACCAAACCGAAAGCAAGTTTTTTCTTCTTTCTTTTTTTTTCCCTCAGGGCTGAGGACTGAACCCAGGGCTTTGCACGTGCTAGGCAAGCACTCTGCCACTGAGTTAAATCCCCAAGCCCTGCTAAAGCAGCTGTTGTTGTTGCTGTACTGAGGATTGTACTCAGAAGTCCTCTACCACTGAGCTACATCCCAGTTATTTCTTATTTTGAGACAGTCTTGCTCTGTTTCCCAGGTGACCCGAACTCGTGATCCTCCTCCTGCCTCAGCTTCCAGAGTAGCGGGTGTTACAAGCATGAGCCCCGGCTTGCTATTGCAATTTCCTTCATGCTGATGAGGTTTAAGGCATCAGAATAAAACACAGCAAGTCTTTTTTGCCTCTGCCTTGTTAAGTTGCTGAGGTTGGCCTTGAACTTGTGATCCTTCTGCCCCTGTTATAAGCCCAGTGACACTTGGGGTATTGGGAGCCTGGGTGCCAAAACCAGAGAGCTGGGGTCACCAGGAGAAAAAGGTGTAGAGGAGGGACTCTGAGGAAGGTCTGGACTCTGGTGTTAGACTGCCTGACTCAGATACCGCCTGTGAAAGTCCCAAGCTTTCTGTGTGCCCATTTGCCCATCTGTGAAGTGGGAGAGCAATAGTATCTGCTTTCACAGGGCTGCTGAAGGTTGAGTGAGCTGGTGCCTGCTGGGTATGAACTGGGTATGAACTGGTTACTCTCTTTAACTTGGTGTGTGGCTACCTGAGTAAGTAAGAGTTATTGCAGGAAACTTTTTTTTTTAATATTTTATTTTAGCTTTAGGTGGACACAATATCTTTATTTTATTTTTATGTGGTGCTGAGGATCGAACCCAGTGCCTCATGCATGCCAGGCAAGCGTGCTACTACTTGAGCCACATCCCCAGCCCCTATTGCAGGAAACTTTGAAGAGAAGTTGGCGCCTGGGAGTGGGGATGAGCCTGAGGTTTGGAGGATGAACTTTGTTTTGTACCTTCCCATGAGTCATTTTTACTTTGACAATTTCAGAATTACAGAGAAGTTGCAAAAAGCCCCATATATCTTTCACTCCGACTCCCCAAATCGTAAATTTACATTTGCTTTATCCTAAATGTTTAAATAAATGTTTTATTCTGAACAATTTGAGACTAAGCTGAGGCCATGACCCCTTTACCCCAAATACTGGATGAGTATTTCTTAAACTAAAGGATATGCTCTTACATAATTAAGGTCAGTGATCAGAATAAGTAACAACCTATTTGGGGCTTACCAGGAGTTTTACACAACTACCTCATTGAATGTTTATCCTAGTGAGATATAGGATATCCTCCATTTTACACTCGAGGAAAGCTGAGGCT